ATATATATATATATATATATATATATAGAGAGAGAGAGAGAGAGAGAGAGAGAGAGAGAGAGAGAGAGAGAGAGAGAGAGAGCGGTACTCTAATTAAATTCATGCATGGTTTTTCATTTTTTCCAATTGTTCACAGTAACACACATGCTGAGTCTCTTTGCCCATACCCACCATGTATCATTTGCACTTCCCAAACACAACAAAGAGCACATACCTCCCACCAGGAAGCACATGCTCCACATGCAAGTAGCTATATGTAGGTTAAACGTAGTAAAGTCGAACTCATATACACTTCCGACTACAGAATATCGGAGAATATCATATAAGATATACATTGCATACAAATAAAGAACAATGATGTCATAGTCAGCGATAAGGTTGATCACAATTGAGTCAAACTCAGTCACACACACGAAGAATGGGATAATATCAGATCAGAACACACACAAACTCCAACATAAGCTTCAGTGTGATAGTGATACCATAGACACTGATAAAGAAGGCCAAAACAAGATGTGAGAGTCTATTCACTAGAGTTTTTAGTACCTGGCACTGATGAATTCTAGGGGCATGCGTTTTTTGTCTTCATGATTAATTGGGCTGTGGAGCTTTCCTATTCATCTCATCAAATGCTTATGTTGACCTGTCGACAAGTACTTGAAACGGAACTATTATAGTGATGCGCAGAGCACCAACAAATGGCTTGCATAGATAAGGGAGCATTCTACGAAGCTTATCAAGAAACCAACATATTCGATGGCCAAGTAATGACAGCGGCAACATAATGTATTTACCAAAATGGGAAAAAAATCAATGATTTCCTATAATACTAAATTCAGTGTTAAGCAGGTTTTAACACTGACTTTAGTCAAATTTGCAACTGTAATCCAAAAACTCGTATCAGCATATCTCAGACTAGAACACTGCAGTTCCCATCACATTATTTTGAACTCTAAACTACTATAAACCTTCAGGTTGAAAAATCGACTTCCTATTTTATGTATATTGCTGTCGAACCAAAAACAGTTACAGAAAAGAAAAAGAAAAGCTATAGAGTATTTGTACTTTTTACATAACTTGTTGCTTGTCACATGGACTTTTCACGACAAAAAGGAAATGGCTCCTAAGTATGTGCATAAAGGCAATGAAAGAGAGAATGAATCTTTTCTATTACCATTTTGACTATTACTGTTGTTAATGTAACATCTCTCTGCTGAATACTTGGTGGAGATCATATATATAGAAAAGTAATTCTCTTAGTTAATTCTAAAAATTTGACATTTATGTTCTCAATCAAACTGACACCATAGTTCTCCACAGTATAGCAATACTATCATCATGACAAAATTTTATTTGCCTGCAGAAGGACTCTTTTAATCTCACCGGCAATACCCTGTAAGGAACCTGGTTTTTGAATAACACCATTCATTCCTATTTGCATGCATCTTTCTCGCATATCTTCATCATCACTTGCAGTCAAGGCAATGATCAATGGCCAGCTGCGGCTACGAAACTTCCGAATTCTCATGGTTACTTCAAAGCCATCCAAGTCAGGCATGTGAAGGTCCAAAAGAACAATTTGATACTTATTTACCACAGGACCAAGAGTGCTAAGGCATCCGTATCCAGATGACACGGCAGAGACAACACACCCTAGCTTCTCAAGCAACTTCCGCGTCACAGCTCTGTTCACATTATCACCATCAACTAATAGAACTTTGAGGCCACTTAAAAGAGAGTCTGAATGCAGATGTTCTGAAGGTCCCCCATGTTCTGAACTGTTGGTTAATATGGATGGCCGGGTTTGGAACCGTAAAACAAGTGCTATGCTTTGATCAAAACCCTCTGGATTTGGTATCACCCATATGTCTCCTTGCATTAACTGCACATGGTAATGGGAAGGAAATAAATGATTTAAACATATAAAGAATCAAGACAGGAAAAGAAAGGGAAAGATAACTTCAAAAAATTATATAATTAAATACACAGATGCAACCTAAACAATCTCTTCCTCTATTACAATTCAGTGAAAAGTATATTGTCTTGCATAGATTTTATGTATATTTAAAAAAAAAAATATATATATATATATATATATGATGTCTTAGCGCAATCTGTTGAGAGCGTGAAAGTCGATAATACTTGAAAAATAATTGAATTAAGATGGTAACAATGAGAGACAAGTATCTAATGAAGACGATATCCCAACAATAGAAATTTTAAAGCCAGCCGCAAGAAAGAGCCAATTGTTGGATGAAAATAATTGCAAGTCACGTGTCAAACACATTTGAATTTTAGCAATTGAAACCAAGACAAAATGCATCCAATTGGCATCACAAGGCAAAAGTTCCAACGTGTTGCTGGCGGTCTCTAATCAATGACATCAGGGAGAATTCCAGCAAAGGTGCAATTCTAATGTTTGCATGGAAAAATGGATAAAGGGGCGTTGGAGATCAACAATTACCGTGCATGTTTTCATACAGATATCCAGGCTTTATCAATTCAGTCAATCATTTATGAGTCAAATATAACAAATTCCCAGACATACCTGAACTAGTTTTCTGCACACACTGAAGCTCAAGCCTTCCTCAACTCCACCAGAGTACCTCTGACTACCATATAGATTTGCAGTAAGTGAACTCTCAGCAGGAGAACCAGTATGGCAAATCCCAACTTCAAGTTTGATATAAGCATATCCATCAGATGAGTTTGATCCCCGGTGGCCCCATCTCTGATCATTCCGTGCCTGACTTCGAGTGACTAAATACACTCGTAATGTAAGACAGCCCCCTTCTTTGCTTCCATTCAAAAGATTTCCAACCATATGCAAAATAACCTGAAATACTCTTCTCTCATCACCCATGACATGGTTGGGCAAGGATTTATCAACCTCAATGACAAAATTACAACCCCGATAAACGCAAAGGCACTTAGCAAGGCAAGCAGCTTGTTTTACCATAGAATGTAGCTGAAAAGATCTCATCTCTAAAGGGAACCTTTGATTATCCTTTGTCGAAGTATCCATTACATCATTTATTAAGGTTGTCACGACATTGCTTGTCTTAACCATAGCATCGACTAGAAGCAGCTGTTCATCACTTAAATTCTTCACGTCCTGCAGAATAGATAACAGACCTAGAATGGAGTGCATGGGCCTTCTCAATCCGTTACTCATTACCATTTGAAATGAATTCCGTGCTTGACTCGCCATCAATGCATCTTGTTTTGCTTGTTGCAGTGCTCGATTTTGTTCCACTAATTTCTCTCTCATAAGCTGAGATTCTTCAAGCACAGCAGCATGTGAAAGAGCCACAGCAACCTGATCAGCAACTACCTTTACTATCTCAAGTTCCTGGTTGCTCCAAGTTCTACCCTGTCCATCAGGAAGAACCAAAACAAGAATGGCGTAACAGGCCTGAACAATTTCAGGAGTCCCACCTTTGAAATTGGAAACCCTCAGCATTGGCATCCTAATTGCAGCCACAGCTCCTGGTTCAGCAGTTCCACCACTGCTTGCAACAGCAAGGACCGACTCGGGGTCAAGTAACTTTACTCCATCACTAATTTTAATCTCTTGTACATCAGGGTTGTTGATTGGGATAGGTTCGTTATAAAGAGTTGAGAAGTTCCTTTCTTTCAATTCATGAGTCAGGTTCATTTCGGTTTTACCCTCATTGGGCATCCAGACAGCACAATTATGTAAATCCAATGTCTTTGATAGTTCAACCAAAGTTGTATACAATATTGTATGCCGATCAAGTGACTTGCGGATTTCTTGAGTCAACATCCGGACATGCCAGCCGGCTTCTTCCTGCTTCTTTATAATTCCAACCTCTCGACCAAGATCCCAAGTCTTTTTCTTCAACATAAATTCCCTCACTTTGACTTTGAGCAGCAAAGGAATGAGGGTGATGAGAGTAATAGCAGTGGCGAATGAAACAAGAGCAGTGAGGAATTTGAAAATAGTGAGAGCAAGCATTAGCTGAAATGGGTGAGGCCCATAAGTCCAGCCATTCAGCAAATGAGTCATACCACATAGAACAATGAAGGAAATGAATTGAAAGAGCACCCATTTGAATGGAACATTCGAACAGCTTACAAAGTAAAGTAGCTCAATCGGGATTGAAAAGTAGGCCACTGCAATTAAGAAATCGCTCACTTTTTGGCACTCGAGAATGCTATCGATGCTCCAAAATCCCTCATCATCACAATTACATCGAGGGAATCCATTTTCAGCTGATGATATTGAAATTGAGTACAATAAAATCAACAGCCCAACTGCTAATGTCTTTGACATTGCATCCAATGCACTGATTCCTCAATCCATTTATTTCGGATAGAGTATTATTTTATTTAGCCCCCCAATGCAGATCAATATATCCAAGTAGAACTGACCAATCGTATCAAAGCCTCACAACAGAATATTCTGGCATTCATTTCCTGTTTGGAAAATGTTAAATCCAATTAAAACCCAGCCAGAAAAAAAGAAAATTGCAACCCATTTGCAATATACATTTCTATGACTTTACAACACATTATAAATATATAAATATGTTCATAATTATAAGTCTTTTCAGAAATACTTAAAAACTTTTATTAAAAAAAATAATAAAGAAAATAAAATAAAATTTTACCGACCTGCTAGAGAAGAAAAATACCAATCTCAGACCCAAATAAGATCTGACCCACAAGTTTTACCAAAGTTTAAAATAGCAATATTTTTTATTCAATTGTACTTTTCACAAATGAAATTAATCCTATAAGAATTTCCATTATAATAATAAAACACAAAAAATTAAAATTAAAATTAAATTAGAACTAAACTACAAGATTTGAAATAAAGAACTCACCATAAAATACAAGGAAAATCAAAGAACGAAAATAATGAAATGCGGTTAAGATCGAATTTTACCTGATGAAATACTGGAAATTCAATCTTCAGATCTTATCTTTGCATTGCATGCAGACGTTTTATTGTACAGAAATACACAACCATATACATTTTTCTGCAACATCATCATCTCTTTATCCAAAACTGCATTGACATCACCGACCAATGCGAAAATCTAAACCACAGTTCAATCAAACCAAAACCCAAAAAAACCACCCAGAAAAAAGAATCTCAAAGAAAAAATTAGCCAAGAAAGAGAATTTCAAGAACTCCGCACCCCTTGTTCAAAGCAAAAAATCCATGTACAAATAAGAAATCTTTGTGCAAGTATTTCACTGAGATTTAAATAAATAGAACAATTCTTGTTGTTCTTTGCAGTATGTGAACTTTTTGGGGGGTTTCTCTCTCAGTTTATACACAAATATCAAAATAGACGTTTCGTCCAAAGGGAGAAAAGAACTGGAGAGGCTTGTCCGCGCCGTTGTTTGCAACGCAAAAACAAAGTAGGTGAAATGGAATGGAAAAACAAGCAGAGAGAGAATCGTATATGTGTTAGAGAGAGAAAGAGGAAATCTAGAGAGTGGGGTTAGGTGGGACCTACAAAGGTTCAGATGAAGAGAACTTAGACGCACTTTTGCTAAAAACGTCCCCTTTCAAACGTCCTTCCCCCATAAAGTAAGACATTAACTCTTTTTTCTTTCTAAATTTTATTTTATTTGCTAATAGTGTATTAGTTGTTTATTATTTATTTGATTATTAATTACTCTCTCTCTCTCTCCCTCGCCCCCCCTCTCCCTCCGCCTCCCCTTCTAGATTTTTGTACATACTAAAAATAAAAAGGTTGAACCCCAATTTTGAGGATCCCCCATCGCTCCTACCCTGAAGTATCGTGAGAGAGGTAAATTGTAGGTTATACCTTCAAGAGTACAGGGTGGAAGGCTGCTTGTACATTTGTACTTACTCAAGAGCCAAATTCATATTTCAGGATTCGAACCCTTGACGCAGCAGTTTCAAGTAAAGCTGGATTTCTCCACCCTTCCCTTTTACCACTTGGAGATGTGCCAAGAGGACCTTTTTTTTTTTTTTTTTGTACATACTAGATAGTATGTGTAGAGTATCATGCCCTTGTCAGGTAACAATTTTTCACCTCAAAAAATTAATTTTTTGATCGTTATTTAATAATTTCAACCGTCATTTTTTACTTCTTCACTCATAAATAAGACCCACTTTTTTTCTAATGATAAAAAAATTAATTCTTATAATCTCCACCGAACAGGTTCTATTTGTGGACTAATCTCATTTTTATTTTTTTTCTATTTTTCTCAATTGTGTACGCATAGGTCATTGGCAATAAAATTGGCATTCTAGGTAATGCCAATACCTGGCCCTCTAAGTTCAAATAAGAACTTTATAAACATCTATTTCTAATAAAGCATCCCCATTCCTTTGGAATGTTACTATTAGTAATTTATGAGTGAGATATTCTTTGATTTATTTTTGTGTGTTGTAAACTTGTTTTGGTTCGGTATGATTCTCGAGTTCTTTGCTTCTTATGTATCAAAAATATATGACATGTTTTTCTTATTGTAATTATTACTTGTCACACAATGAATTTAGAGTTTTCAATACTCGCGAAGATATTGAAAGTTGAAAATTAATTTTTAAGAAAAATAACTTCAAAAACCTGCTCCCTTGCACGATTAAGAGTATTCTCTTCAGATATTACAGGAAGTTATAAAATGTTAATAGATTTTATTGTCTCAAACGTGTCTAAAATATTAAATTGTTAAAATTGTTCTCTATTTATAGATAAAAAAAAAATTATAAACGTTGGATTTAAACTTTCCACTTACATAAGTTAAGTTGTTACAAATTTGGCAACTACTATTTTATTTAGAAAGAAAAATTTAAGTTGCGGCAATCATTGTTCAAATTTCATCCAAGTCGACGTTTTTATAGTATTGTTTTTGAAAGGTAGAGAAATATCCAAGATTAACACGAATTCACAAACCACAATACTAACAGTAATAAAAGTGCAGAAAATAAAAATCAATACAAAGAATTTTTCGATCGAAACTCCAGAGGTTCGACAACTACTTCTAACGCATAATCCCTTGTTGAACATCCATTAAAATGGATAAAGCTCTATTGCACTATAAAGCCCCAAAAACAAGCAACAAGTATATAATAATGTTCCAAAATATTACAAGAACCAAGTCACTAAGACTTATCTTATGAGAACCAACAAGGCAGACCCAAATCCACGAAGGAATCAACGACCAGATTACATAGATCTCACAACACAGTTACTGCCTTAAAAGAGTCACACATCTTTAAGATATCAAAAAGAACCAATTGCTATTCCACCAACGAACTGAACCGAGATCACCAAGATCTCTTAAAACCGAACTCTCCTCTCTAGAATCCCTTCGAATCAGACGCATATCACATGGTAAATCATGTTCCACAAAGAGTGTATGTACCTATAGTACAAGTTTACAGGTATTATTTTCTGAAAAAACCTTCAAGAACTCAAGCCCTAATCACTAGAAAAAGAGGGGTTTTCATCGCACAGAGAAGAGAGAGAGAGAAGAGGCAGAATTCTGAGAGCCACAGTGAATAAATTGAACCTTCCAGAATGGTAGCCCATAAGTCAAAGACCATCCGTTTCGATCATAGCCACACGTTTTAATCCAATGGCTCACATCCCATTTCAATTAGCACAATCCGAGTGACAATTAAGCAGCCAATTATCAACAACCACGTGAAACATCCACTTAAAGAAGTTGTTGTTGCAAGAAACACGTTTTCTCCAATTTAATTTTGGAACACTTTCTCAACAATCTCCACATTGCTTCCAAAATTTAAGCCTATAGTGCAACTAGGAGCTTCACCAACATTTATAATTTCATTTGCTCTATTATAAATGTACAATCAATGAAAAGAATCAATAGATAACATCTTTAAACAGTTTTGAAACTTATCTAAATGTATCACCTTAGTTCCCATATCAGATGAATTATACAAAGTAGGTATTTTATTAGTTTTCAGCAAACCTTTGAAATAATATCCCTTATAAAATGGTAGTTTACATCAACATATTTTGTTCTATCATGGAACATGGGATTCTTACTCAAATGGATTGTACTTTGATTGTCAAAATACAGTATTGGATCAATGTCTATAAAACTAAGTTCATTCAACAAACCATGCAGCCATATGCCTTCTTAATGGCATCGATGGAAGATAGAGCAACAATTTTTTGTAACTAAGATTTTCAACTTATCATAATACCACACAGAGTGTAAAAATAAGATGAAGTTAATTTTCTATAGTCTCTATTTTCAGTAAAATCAAAATCTATATAACTCTTTAAAATTACCCCTTCTTTGTCCATTTTAAATATCAAACCCAAGTTAGATGAACCCTTTAAATATCTCAATAACCACTTCAATGCTTCCCAATGAATTTCACCAGGATTCCGTAAAAATCTACTCAAAACACTAATACTAAAAGCCAAATCAGATCTGGTACAAATCATTAAATACATGACTGAACCAATAGCGTTAACATAAAGTATTTTTTACATTCTTTCAAGTTTATCTTCATTTTTTGGACACGAAACAGATGTTAAAATAAAATGATTGACAAGAGATAAAGTCACAGGTTTACAATCAAACATATTAAACTTCTTAAAGATCTTATTCACATACTCTTGTTAACTTAAAAACAAGTAATCAGATTTCTCATCTCTTATAATATACGTGTCAATTATTTTTTTTAGCGGAACCAAGATCTTTCATAACAAATTCTGATTGTAATTTGTGTTTGATATCATCAATTTCAGATTCATTGGCACTAGCAAGAAGCATATCATCAACATAAAGCACAATATACAAAGAATTTTTACCTCCATTTCCTTTACAATAAAGAGATGTATCGTAATTGTTTCTACTAAACCTAAGCTTCAAGACAAATGAATCGAATCTTTTATACCATTATCTTGGAGCTTTTTTAGGCCACACAATGATTTTTTCAACAAACACACAGTTTTTTCAGGATTTCTTTTTTCAAATCCTAAAGGTTGTTTCATGTAGATCACTTCATCCAATTTACCATATAGAAATGCGGTTTTTACATCTAGTTGATCAAGTTTCCACTTAAATTGCACAACTAAAGTAAGAGTGCATCTTATAGTTGTATATTTAACCATGGGGGAAAAAATATCATCATAGTCCACGCCCTCTTTTTGTGTGAAACCCTTGGCAACAAGCCTAGCTTTGTACTAAAATTATTAGTGCCACCTTCCCCTTCCTTTATCTTATAAATACACTTGCAATCAAGTAACTTCTTATCCTTAGGTCTATCAACCACTTCCCAAGATTTATTTTGGTATAGGGAAGACATCTCTTCTTTCATAGCACTCAACCACCGCTTAGAATCTTTAAATTTCAAGGCTTCATGATAGGGACTAGGTTCAGATTCAGTTTCTTCTTGGTAAGTGAACAAAGACACAAAGTCTTCACTATTGAACCTAGCAGGTGATCTAATTTGCCTCCCATCCTTGTCTCTAGTGAGCTGGTAATTATCTAGAGGTGTATTATTATCATCATATTGTTCAGTTTCAAGCAAATCAAGCTTGTTTTCATTATAATCAGTCTCATTAGTTTTTGTTTCTAGGGAGACATGTAAAGCCCCGACTTGCATGGATCGAAACGTCACAAGATTAATTGTACTTTAACCGTAAACTTAATAATTTACTATACTTTTAGCGAAAAGTATAAAGATTTAAATTTTAGAATTTAATTCAATTTTTTTTAAAAAAATAACAAAAATAATTCAATACTAAAAGATAACCTCCATTGACGTGAAACATTTTGGCAAAACTTTAAAAATGGTGGTATTGTTTTAGTTTTTATCTCAAATGAAAATTGACAAAATAAATTCGTTTGTATAGCTATCGACCTCGAAATTTCGTGAAATTTTAGTGTAAAGTAGAAAACTCCTTATTATATGACAAAATAAAAAAATAACCTTCGTCGGCATCATATGAGGTATTAAAATATTTTTCAAAATCCAGCAGCGACCCAGTTAAAAGGTAAATCGGTGCAGTTCACTTAAAATGACATATAAAATTCCATAGACATCAAAACCACATGATTTTAAATTTATTCAGTAGTTAATCCATGAGACTATCAAATTCAATTATTTTTATCCAGAAATTCCAAGTAACGTTCGAGTTATGAATTTTTGAAGTCAAGACAGAAGCTAAAAACAACGACATTACCCAGTACAATTTACTTTATGCGACATATAAAACTCTACCGACATCGGATTGATATGATTCCAAGTTCATTATATAGCTAACTTATGAGGTTATCCAATGCCACTAGCTTTGTATAAAAATGTCAGTAACAAAAAAGTTATGAATTTTTAAAGACGAGCCAGAAAGTGAAATTTTTGAAGAGACATCAAAACTTTAAATCGCTAACATCTTTTTGTAAACAATGATTTGTAATTTTATT